GGTGTTTGTTGGATGTTGGATGATGTTTGTTGGATGGTGTATAATGTCTGTTTGATGGTGTTTGTTGGATGGTGTTTGTTGGATGATGTTTGTTGGATGGTGTTTGTTGGATGATGTATAATGTTTGTTGGATAGTGTTTGTTGGATGGTGTTTGTTGGATGATGTATAATGTTTGTTGGATGGTGTTTGTTGGATGATGTTTGTTGGATGGTGTTTTTAGGATGATGTATAATGTTTGTTGGATGGTGTTTGTTGGATGGTGTTTGTTGGATGGTGTTTGTTGGATAGTGTTTGTTGGATAGTGTTTGTTGGATGGTGTTTGTTGGATGATGTATAATGTTTGTTGGATGATGTTTGTTGGATGGTGTTTGTTGGATAGTCTTTGTTGGATGGTGTTTGTTGGATGGTGTTTGTTGGATGATGTATAATGTTTGTTGGATGGTGTTTTTTGGATGATGTATAACGTTTGTTGGATGATGTTTGTTGGATGGTGTTTGTTGGATGGCGTTTGTTGGATGATGTATAATGTTTGTTGGATGATGTTTGTTGGATGGTGTATGATGTTTGTTGGATGGTGTTTGTTGGATGATGTTTGTTGGATGGTGTTTATTGGATGGTGTATTTTGGATGGTGTTTTGTTGGATGGTGTTTGTTGGATGGTGTATATTGGATGATGTTTGTTGGATGGTGTTTGTTGGATGGTGTATGTTGGATGGTGTTTGTTGGATGGTGTTTGTTGGATAGTGTTTGTTGGATGGTGTTTGTTGGATGTTGGATGATGTTTGTTGGATGGTGTATGATGTTGGATGATGTATAATGTTTTTTGAATGGTGTTTGTTGGATTGTGTATTTTGGATGGTGTTTTGTTGGATGGTGTATGTTGGATGGTGTTTGTTGGATGGTGTTTGTTGGATGGTGTTTGTTGGATAGTGTTTGTTGGATGATGTTTGTTGGATGGTGTATGTTGGATGTTGGATGATGTTTGTTGGATGGTGTATGATGTTTGTTGGATGGTGTTTGTTGGATGTTGGATGATGTTTGTTGGATGGTGTATGATGTTTGTTGGATGGTGTTTGTTGGATTGTGTATTTTGGATGGTGTTTTGTTGGATGGTGTATGTTGGATGGTGTTTGTTGGATGGTGTTTGTTGGATGGTGTTTGTTGGATAGTGTTTGTTGGATGATGTTTGTTGGATGGTGTATGTTGGATGTTGGATGATGTTTGTTGGATGGTGTATGATGTTTGTTGGATGGTGTTTGTTGGATGTTGGATGATGTTTGTTGGATGGTGTATGATGTTTGTTGGATGGTGTTTGTTGGATGCTGTTTGTTGGATGCTGTATTTTTGATGGTGTTTTGTTGGATGCTGTTTGTTGGATGGTGTATGTTGGATGGTGTTTGTTGGATGCTGTTTGTTGGATAGTGTTCGTTGAATGATGTTTGTTGGATGGTGTTTGTTGGATGGTGTTTGTTGGATGTTGGATGATGTTTATTGGATTGTGTATGATGTTTGTTGGATGGTGTTTGTTGGATGTTGGATGATGTTTGTTGGATGGTGTTTGTTGGTTGGTGTTTGTTGGATGTTGGATGATGTTTGTTGGATGGTGTTTGTTGGATGATGTATAATGTTTGTTGGATGGTGTTTTTTGGATGATGTTTGTTGGATGATGTATAATGTTTGTTGGATGGTGTTTGTTGGATGATGTATAATGTTTGTTGGATGGTGTTTGTTGGATGATGTATAATGTTTGTTGGATGGTGTTTTTTGGATGATGTTTGTTGGATGATGTATAATGTTTGTTGGATGGTGTTTGTTGGATGATGTATAATGTTTGTTGGATGGTGTTTGTTGGATGATGTATAATGTTTGTTGGATGGTGTTTGTTGGATGATGTATAATGTTTGTTGGATGGTGTTTTTTGGATGATGTTTGTTGGATGATGTATAATGTTTGTTGGATGGTGTTTGCTGGATGGTGTTTGTTGGATGATGTATAATTTTTGTTGGATGGTGTTTGTTGGATGATGTTTGTTGGATGGTGTTTGTTGGATGATGTATAATGTTTGTTGTATGGTGTTTGTTGGATGATGTATAATGTTTGTTGGATGGTGTTTGTTGGATGATGTTTGTTGTATGGTGTTTGTTGGATGATGTATAATGTTTGTTGGATGGTGTTTGTTGGATGGTGTATAATGTTTGTTGGATGGTGTTTGTTGGATGATGTATAATGTTTGTTGGATGGTGTTTGTTGGATGATGTATAATGTTTGTTGGATGATGTTTGGTGGATGGTGTTTGTTGAATGATGTTTAATGTTTGTTGGATGGTGTATAATGTTTGTTGGATGATGTTTGGTGGATGGTGTTTGTTGGATGTTGTATAATGTTTGTTGGATGGTGTTTGTTGGATGGTGTATAATGTTTGTTGGATGGTTTTTGTTGGATGGTGTATAATGTTTGTTGGATGATGTTTGTTGGATGGTGTTTGTTGGATGATGTATA